GTCAAAAAGGCCTCAAAAGCCAAACCCGCGGCTAAGAAGACCCCCAAAAAGGCCCCCAAAGCCAAGACACCCAAAAAGGCTTAAACACTGACTAAGTGTTGAACAAACGGCTCTTTTCAGAGCCAATCAATTAATGCTAAAAGTGACTCAATTTTAACATTTCATTTAATATTTTATTTCATTCATTAATTTAACGTTTTCTGTATTTTAATAAAAGAATCGATAATTAAAAATATACTTTCATTTAACTAAATATTAGTGATGTATAAACCGTGCGTTCAATTCACTGATTGGGAGGCGGGTATGGGTAGTGACCATAACCTGTGTTTTGCGGTGGGTTTTGATAACCATAACCGGTCTGTTGTATCGGATATTGAGTGTTCACTAAATGAGTTTGAATTAAAGGTTTAGTATTGAATAATTAAGAGTATTATAACTATTATATATACTAACTTTGAGGATAAGGCGCCTGCGGTTGTTGTGTTGGCATTGCGTATGGATTAAATCCCGACGGAAGTGGAGGCGGGGGGTAATAGTATTGCTGGGGTTGGTATAGGTTTGCGGCATAAGGTTGTGGCTGTGGTTGACTGAATGGGAATACTTGTGGCGGATTGGGAGCACTGGAGACGGGCTGTGGAGCGGTAGGCGCAGCGGTGGGCGGCGGCGGTCTCGGAGGCCTTTGTTGTTCGTCGGTGTGATAGGCAGGTGTTGTGGGCGGCGGAGGGTTAGCCCGCGAGACGATCTCGTTTTGCAAGTCTTTGCAGAGCTCCTCTCGCTCTGCCTTTCGTGCGAAACAGAAGTCTTCGATTTTGTTCTGAAGATTGACTAACAGTTGTGTCAAATCGTTGTAGAATTTGGTGCCCTCTTCCAGATTAGAGAGCAGTTCCTGATAGGCGTCGTGAGCGGCCGCCAACTCAGACAGAAAAGTCTCCCTTTCATTAGAACCGACCGAAAGATTTCCTTTAAGTTTTATAAACTCAGTGTTCGAGCGTTGAATGTCTTCGAGGAGTCTTTCCTGACGCTCTTTACTCTCGCGGATCTGCTTCTGAAGCGGACCGTAGACCTCACCCAACGCTTCTGTACTCAACGCAAACTCATTAATGGCTCCATCTTTGACGAGTGCGGACAGGAATTTATTTTTCATGTCATTGAATGTCATATTCTTGAGCTCAGACTCAATCACTTCCCTTTCATTCTTAAGCGCCTCGACGTTTGCCATCAAATTTCTGAGTTGAGACACAACTGGACTGCTTTGATAAGAAGAGCCGCCACTCGAACCCGAAGGTATAGCAGCGGCCAAATCGGACGGCGAACCGCTCGACAGTAATTGCATTTTCTGGGAATGAGCGCCGAATTTAGTCTTCACTTTATTATCAGCTTCGATGGCGTTGTGAAGAATACTCCTATATTTGGCGATGTGTTCCTTCCAGTTGTGGTTCAATTTACTGGAAGGCGTTCGACTCCAACGCTCCTTAAACTGAGCCCTCAAGTTGTCGTCCGACTCCTCTTCAGTGTTGAGCGCTCTTTCATTTTCATCCAAAATCTCTCGATTCCTCTGCAATAGATCTGGCAATTCATTGATAAGTCGAGTGATCACATCAATGCCTCCCTTCGCTTTCACTGCATTCGATTTGTCAATCAATGATTTGGGAACCTCTTGTCCGGACGAGTCCTCGATGGCCGCCGGGAGGTTCAGAGACACGAGAACTGCGTTCAGAGTTTGAGTCAATTCCCGAAGCGAAGCCACTTCTGTGTTAACAATCTCTTGCTTTTTAAGTTCCAATTTGTGGACCGCCTGTTGGACGCCGAGAGGCAGCAGTTTTTCAAACATATCCGGATTATTGGGGAAAAACCTTTCGGGAACGGCTCCCGGTTTGGCCAACTGTGCCCTTCCAATGGTTGTCAATGACTTATATTCGGGTACTTTTGCGTGATATATGAAGTCATTGTCTTTCTTCGCCTCTTCCAACAAAATGCTCGCTTTATTCAAATACTCTTTAAACGTCTGATTGAAGCTCAAAGTGCCGCGACTTTCGGCTCCTTTGAAACAGTCGACCGCCTTCTGGAGTCGTGTGATCTGATCGCCGAAATCTTTGTTTTGAAGGCAAGCAATCGACTGGAAGTACTCAGCGATGCCGTGAAAAGCCGCCTGTTTTACGCTTACGATCGACAGCCACTCCTTATCGGCGTTAAACTTAATGACTTGCAATTGTCTCAACACATCCGCGTAGTATTCCTCGCACTGGGAGGCGATCTTCGCTATAATCGCTTCCTTCATATTATCGTTAGTGGCCTTCAAGAAGAATGTCTCCTGACTTTGAGCTAACATTAAATTCTGTAAAATATTCAACACTTCGTTCTGCATATCAGAAGACAAGTCATGTGAGCCGACGGCAGAACTGGCCGTATGTTTAAGTGACTGAAACACTCCGGCGGCCGACGAGAAGTACTTTGCGGCCGACTTGAGGGCGTTGTCATTACTGAGACCTTCGCTCACTTGAGTTGATCCCAAATGACTCTGAAGAGCGCCGATATTGAAGAGAACGCAGACCTTCTCGTAAGCAATGCTAGAAATGGTCAGACTATTGGAGGCCAAGAAGAATGACGAGCCCTTCTCGAAGGCATCCTTCCATCGGAACGACACCTCAATGTGCGGACACTTCGCCTCCAATGACACCAATTGGTCGTAATATCTGTCAAAACAATCAAAAAGTTACTGACATTACCATCACATCCATTGAGACAATCGATACTCACTTCTGAAGCAATTCCAAAGAGGTCTCACTTTTCACGTCCAATGACTTTGAGATACAATTGGCTCTCATTTTGTTGAGTGAAAGCAAATTATCCTTCAATTCATTCAATTCGTCGGCATTTGAGGAGTGATTGGCGATCACCTCTCGGATCGGTTTAACCAAATCCACATCATATGAACGCTTCAGAGGAATCGCTATTAAAGACACCATTTCTTTGCCGATTATTGTCACTACAAAAAGCGATCACTGATTGAAACTAATGTTACGATTTGTTTATTATTAGCGTTGATATCGTATAACAAACACAACAATCAAAACAAAGTCTTCCCTGAATATGAGTCAGAGACCGACGCCTCTCATCACTACCAGTACTCAACACTACTCTCGCTCCAAACCCTTCTAACCAATCAATTGTGAAGACATTGCGTACACCTCTTCACTCACACCACAGTAACGCTTGTTGTGAGTGATTGTAAGCGACAAGTGATTGCCTCCCAATCCGGTAAGTTTTAGCATACAATACGTCATCATTTGTTATGACATCAGCCAAGACCTGGAGGGGAGAGAGAGAGAGAGAGGGAGAGCAATTTTGAATGGCATTGACAATTAAACCCAAAGTTGTGTCAATCAAATGGTAAACTAATTTGTGTTAAATTAAAGTATATTTTATTACAACTAATCGATGAATAATTTATTAAACATTTGACAAAAGTGTGATTTTTATATATAAAAAGAGTAAAATTGATTCAATAATTAAGCGACGAATTGAATGAACAAAAAGCAATTAAATACTCAAAAATAAATACTTTTGAAGTGGTTATCAAATACAGAAGAGTCTTAACATATATTTAAATAAAACTCGTTTAACACTAAAAAGCAATAGCATTGGAAAGGTGTGTGAAATGTGGTATCAAATCAATAGAGAAATGCAAATCATGTTTATCGCCGTTTCTTGCGTTTAGAGGACTCGACGGGTGGAGCGGCTCTCTTGTTGGGTCCTCTGGCGAGTCCCGCTTTAGGTCCGGGTTTTTTCTTCGTTTGTCTCTCCTTCTCCTCCAACTCCTGGTTCTCCCTCTCAATCAAAGTGATGAGAGTATTGCACCGGCGCTGCAGTTCAGACGCGGTCCGGCTTTTGATGAACCAATCGAACCGGATGTAAGTTTTAGCATACAATACGTCATCATTTGTTATGACATCAGCCAAGACCTGGAGGGGAGAGAGAGAGAGAGAGAGAGAGAGAGAGAGAGAGAGATAAAGCAATTTTGAATGGCAATGACAATTAAACGCAAAGTTGTGTCAATCAAATGGTAAACCAATTTGTGTTAAATTAAAGTATATTTTATTACAACTAATCGATGAATAATTTATTAAACATTTGACAAAATTGTGATTTTTATATATAAAAAGAGTAAAATTGATTCAATAATTAAGCGACAAATTGAATGAACAAAAAGCAATAAAATACTCAAAAATAAATACTTTTGAAGTGGTTTTCAAATACAGAAGAGTCTTAACATATATTTAAATAAAACTCGTTTAACACTAAAAAGTAATAGCATTGGAAAGGTGTGTGAAATGTGGTATCAAATCAATAGAGAAATGCAAATCATGTTTATCGCCGTTTCTTGCGCTTAGAGGACTCGACGGGTGGAGCGGCTCTCTTGTTGGGTCCTCTGGCGAGTCCCGCTTTAGGTCCGGGCTTTTTCTTCGTTTGTCTCTCCTTCTCCTCCAACTCCTGGTTCTCCCTCTCAATCAAAGTGATGAGAGTATTGCACCGGCGCTGCAGTTCAGACGCGGTCCGGCTTTTGATGAACCAATCGAACCGGATTTTTTCTTCGTTTGTCTCTCCTTCTCCTCCAACTCCTGGTTCTCCCTCTCAATCAAAGTGATGAGAGTATTGCACCGGCGCTGCAGTTCAGACGCGGTCCGGCTTTTGATGAACCAATCGAACCGGAATTGTGGGGCACTTCTGATGGCGGACTTGAGCTCATCGTAAACCAGTTCCCTATCAAAGCCCAACTTGTGAAGCATACAGACGAGGAATCTGTCCTCTTCTTCGGTGTAGTTCTTGCCTTTGTTAGTGCCGTACGCTATCCTCAACTGATGGAATGGAGCCCTATATCGAGACATCTTAGAGTCGAGCGCTCTTTTGATATCCTGACGCCTTTGAATCCTTTGCTCTCCTTTTTCTATCTGAGCCATAATTCTGTCACAATCTGTCAGTTCGTGACATCTCTCCCAAAACACATTCGAATATTCAATCACTTCTTCGGCAGTCTTTCCCTCGACTTCTTTGGAGATGGAGTCCATGTCATCCCTTCCATACTTTTCGTTTGCTTTAATAAACTGATTGAAGTCACGTCTCGTCCAAGTGGTAAACCCTTCCTGAAGGAGAGACTCCCTCTCCTGCAGCTCTTCGTCGTTAAGTGATTCGCTCTCATCGATGAGTCGCTGTTCTTCTCTCTGCACTTTTGACGCTTCGTTTCCTAATTCGGGATTTTTGGGCACTTTATAGCCAACAGTTTTGCGGAAGAAATAGATTTCTTTGTCGAGGAGTTCGAAAAGTCTGGGCGGAAAGAACTGGAAGTCCTGAACACTGGGCTGTTTGGGAGGTCGCGGGGCTTTGGGAGCGCGCGGTTCGCTAACACGGAGTGCTTCGCGAAAGTAAGCGTCGACCGCGTAATTGGCTTTGCGCTCGCGTTTGGGCGGCTCTATCCACGCCAGTTGTGACAACTTCTGCTTCTCGCGATAGTCTTCGCCCTCAAACTTGTAAACACTGGACTCTCCGGTGTCGAGAGTAAAGTTTCTGAGAGTGCTTTCGCCCATTGCCTCCAACTTCTTCTTCTGCTGTTCTGTTTTCTTCTCTCCCTTCGCGAGGATAGCGTCGATGTCTTCTTCGGTGATCTCACTGTCCTTCGAGGCGAATATATGGTCGGCGCCGTGTCTTATCATTCCCAACATCTCATCCTTTCCCAGTTTATTACCCCCGCTGTCGGCGAGTCTTCCCTGTTGTATGACAACAGTGTCTAAACGCAACTTCATTTCAGCTCTCTCTACAATCCTCTCCTCAACCGTATTGTCAGTAATCAAGCGAAACACTCGAACCACTTTCTTCTGACCAATTCTGTGCGCCCTATCCATGGCCTGGAGGTCCACCTGTGGGTTCCAATCCGAGTCAAACAGAATCACCACATCAGCCGTCGCTAAATTAATTCCTAGACCTCCAGCTCTTGTGCTCAACATAAATACGAAGCGATCGGAATCGGGTTTATTGAACTCGTCTATCTGTCGCTCTCTCTCCTCGTGAGATGTCTGTCCATCCAATCGGCAGTATTTATATTGCCTCCAAAGCGAATAATCTTCTAAAATGTCGAGCATTCGAGTCATTTGACTGAATATGAGTACACGACTGCCTTCTTCTTGAAATCTGGGCAACAGTTTGTCGAGAATAACCATTTTTCCGCAGTTGTCCACCAAATGCTTGTCTGTGGTATAGGGAGGACCGGGTTCTGCGCCGTCGAACAGATAGGGATGATTCGCACACTTTCGCAATTGCATCAAAATGTTCAATAACCGCATTTTGTCCTGTTTTCCCGCGCCGTTCACTATATCGATGTCTTTCATGAGGATCTTTGTATACCATTCGCGTTGCATACGACTCAGTCCCACGTAAACCTTTGTCTCCTTCTTTGGCTTTAGTTTCTTCTCGACTTCACTCTTAAGACGTCTCAATAGGAAAGGTCTCAAAACTCCGTGCAATCGTTCGACGAGAGAGATGTCGCCAACCAAACAGTTATTAGTGTTAAACCAGGCGTCGAAGTCGTCGGACGAGTTGAACACATCGGGCAGCAAAAAGTTAAGCAAAGCCCACAACTCATGCAAATTGTTCTGAAGAGGTGTTCCCGTCAACAGTAAACGATTGGTTGATTTGAATTCGCGGATAATTTCGGAGAGTTTGCTCTTTTCATTCTTGATGCGATGCGCCTCATCGATCACCAAATACCTCCAATTAAACTTCTTGAGCACCGCTTTCTCGCGAATTATCATCTCATAAGAGGTGATACAGACGTCCCAATCGTTGGGCGTTCCCAACAGTGTGTCCCGAATCAGAGCATTTCTGGTCTGTTGATCGCCGATAAGGCAAACGGCTGTCAGCGAAGGACACCATCGCTTCACTTCATTCATCCAATTAGTGAGAGTAGACTTGGGAGCGATCACCATATGTGGTCCCGCAGTGTTCCGGTAGTTCTTCATATATCCTAATAAACTAATTGTCTGCAAAGTCTTTCCTAAACCCATCTCATCGGCCAGTATTCCATTGATTCCGTTCTCGTGAAGACTTATCATCCAATTAAGGCCTCGGATCTGATAGTCTCTCATTTCGCCAAACTTTATATAACTGGGATTCTCTTCGAAACGAATCACATTCTGTGACTTCTTACTCGCCGCCAACAGCTCTTGATCCTCTTCCTCTTCAGTCATGCGGTGTCTGTGATCCGTCGCATCCGTCGACAGACGCGGCTTCGGCGGAGACACCGGCTCTGAACTCTTGGTTTTGGGTTTGCGTCCGGGTTTGGCCTTCAGAGGCGCCGTTTGTGCCGATCCCTGATTACCAGATGTCATGAAATGGGAGAAAATCTCCGTTTGTTTGAGAAGGAAATCAAATCGTTTAGATCTGTCGACATTCAACGTCTCGTTGAAGTCTTGCGATGAGATTATTTGCGCCAAATTCTCGCCAATCACTGACTCCGCGGGGGTTCCGCTCACTGACTCATCTGTTGAACAATCGGCTCATTATTATTAAGACATAACATAATTATGACATTAATAGTCAAATACAAACCATTGTCTTCCTCCTCGTCTTTTGCCTCGTTTTGTGTGTCTTCAGTGTTGGCGTTGTCTTCAAACTCTTCATTGGTTTCATTCAAATCACTTTCTTCTTCCGCTTTTGACATCTTTTTTAAATTATAGTTTAGATTAAATCCAAAAATATATAAATTATAAAATTGTTAAACAATTGAAAGCATGAATGGATATAAACATGGATTGAAAGCCGGGAACCAATTGAGCGACAAATGAATGCATCGATTATTCAAATCTATTGTCGTTTTTGTGTAGACTTCACAACAGAGACACTCTTTGGCCGTAATTTCAAACACCTCTTTGAGCCTCACTTTCTATCGTCTCTTCACTCCTATTATTCACTCAATTCTCTCTAATTATATGTAATTTTGTACAAAACATATATAAATATGACATAAGATTCAAACAATTGCTTAAATTTTACGTTAATTTGATTTCAAACGATAATTAGTTTAAATGAATAAACGATTGGTTTGTGTAGTGAACACATGTGTCGCTCACATCACACACACTATTGCCTCTCAATTACTCTGACATACACTTCAAGCTATTTATTAATACTCTCGGTATTTGATCCCAAACTTATTTCCCGATTTTATATTAATTCAATTATAGTTGAGTTTTATATCCATCTTATAATTAGATAAAAATTAGATATGAAATTTTTGATTAAGATTATTTTTGATAATTGTGAAAAGTTACAAAAAATAGATTTTAGAGAAATTTAATTTTGACTATTAGAACCAATGGACCAGAATTTTGATCTACTTGTTATTTTACTTTGCTTTAAATTAAATTAATTGTAAGTAAAAGTGGTAATAAATGTGCATTCATTAAAATGAACTTATTTTGAAAATCTTAAGAATAATTAATGGGATTCTTAAACTATACATTGAGTCGATTGTTGATTAACTCAAATTCATATTAGATATGAGTTAATAGATTTGTGTTGAGTTTTTAATAAGTTTTAAAAATAAATTTACAAATCAATTACAGTAATTGTGATTTAAAATGAATGGTAAAGTAATTGACGGCAAATGTATTGTCGGGTAATATAAGGAGTGGAGAGACGACTGGCGTTGAGATGATGTGAGGCTTTGTGTATAGTTTAGAGGCATTCCTGTATTGAGTGCTCTCTTTTAAGGCAAATATTTTTGTGTAAACTTTTATGACATTTATTATTATAATTGAATTGTAATTACAAATAGAGTTAACATTACATCGATTTTGATTACATTTGAGGGTTTAATTTCATTCACAATTTAAGAGACCATATCTTGCATTGTATTTGAAAGCAATGTTATGAATGAAGTGATCGTCTCATTGGTTAGCATTGAAGTGATTGTTGGCACTCATTGTCTCTGTCCTCGAGATCTCAGGGTTTGATAATTAGTGGGAAATAAAGGTTCGGACGAAGAATGGACTCTAAGAAGGAAGTGAAGGATGTGGTGGTGAAGGGCACGACTGGCCCAACACTGGCCCACCCTTTGGTGTTGAATGATATGCCAAATGAGATAATGGATAAGATCTTTGGTTTGCTCTCATTTGAAACCATCGCTAAGAACCGAATCGTAAGACTTCCTCCTCTTGTGTTACCTTTAAATTGATTGTCTTATTATTGTTACCATTTGTGTGATTAGGTCTGCAAACGATTCAATCAAATCGGAAGTCAAATACTGAACAGGTTTTTCATTAATTAATCATAAAATTAATTAATTAATTAATAAGTTGTCTGTCTTTTAACAGCGAGTTTCAAATTCTTCGCAATTATACTCAACAGCGGTTTCAGACAATTAAGAGCCAAATGCCGCGCCGAGAGTCGGCCAGACGTAAGCACCCGTTGGCCCGCGAGTCGGACATCATAGAGACTCTGCACATGCGGTTAACTCTGCTTCAGATGACATTCAACAAACACATCGAGCGAATGCATTGTTGCTTCTTCTCCGGCGAGATCTTAGACGAAGTGCACAGAATCATACGCTATGTCCGCAACACACCTGTCCTCTCCCGGGCCTATAAAGTGACGGATGAGTTGTTCGACTTGTCGACAATGGCTATGGAGTACTTCAAAGAACATATTGAGCCAACGCTTCCAGAAATCAATTACTTCGGAGTCGCCGACTATTTGCTCGACTACTCGCCAACGCTTACCGGTTCTCCACAGACACAGCTCTCGCTTATGGACAATACCACTAAAGGTATACATCACTCGACCCGCAAGAAAAGTATTAAATCAAACGCCAATTCTTTGGCCTCGACTTCCGGTTACAAGAATTCTGAAACAATCGCTTTGAAGAAGCGCTTAAAGAACGCCGAGTTATATGTGAAGCGAAATAACAGTCAAATACTGTCACTGAAAAGAGAGGTAATGCTGGCGAAGAAGAAATGGTCACAACAGCAGAGAATTACTAATGGTATGCGAACTCGTTTTGATGATTACGACAAGAAGTTAGAGACAACTAATCGCAAAATGAGTGCTGTTTTGGAAGAGTTGAGTAAATGCAAGACTGAACTGCAATATTGGCGATCGACCTCTCCGTCCAGTTCGACCCCCACTCCCAATACTAAACCCAATCACTGCAGATGTGGCGACACTTCCATTGAAAACGATTCACTTCTCGTTCCCGAAGTATTCAAACCCATTGATGAGAAGCCGACCACCGCTTCCCCTGAAGTGAATGCAATTGAAGACAACGTTAGCGATGGTCTACCGGTTGTCCATCGAGTCGAGGGAAAGCATTGCAAACGAAAACTCCATTATATCGATGAGAAAAAGTGCGATAAAAAGATGAAAAAATCGTAACTCATTCTCCTTTTCAATGCAATTTTGGCGTCAATTTCGGTTTCATTACATTTTATATTGAATTATATGTGTATTTATAAAATGCCGAATACTTTCAACCGTTATTTTAACTCTTTTTTCACAACACAACAGTTTTTTATATATTAATTATTTTAGTTCTCAATTACTTTTATGATTCAAATATTATTTTTAATATATTTATGAAAGAATTCTAATTTATTTCATTTATATTGAATTACACTTATTTTAAACAACTATTTTACATTTGATTTGATTGTCAATCATTTAAATATTCATTACAATACATGACTTAATGTTTTAAAACAATTTATAGAAAATGTTTCAATTGTTTGACAAAA